TGATTAGTGTAGCACACCCTCGGGGGAGGTGAGCAACGTCATCAAATCCATGAATAATCTAGAGAAGTCGCACGTGAACACCTACAGCTTTTCGCATTGCCTTTAATGCGGCTTAGATTAAATGCGCTTTCTCGAGAAAACTCTACGAGCGTCAAGATTAAATACATGGCTCCCACGATTGACTCTAAATGTTCATTCAATGACAAGTTGAGAGATTTAACCATGTCCTATCCCTTGCATGTCCTTAAGAGGCAAGGACTAGGGGGGGGGGTGAGTCTCGTCTTTCGTTCCACGCGCATGTCACAAATAACAATCGGAACTCCGTTTTGAATGGCGTTCCATTTCTCGAGCAACCTCAGATCTGTCATGATCCTGAACTGTTGAGAGCAGAAATAAGCAGACTGGAAGACAGCTCTCTTTTAGGTATAGTGAAGTGGCAGTGCTGTACGTTAAGCAACAAACAGTGGTAGACGCTCATTTTAGGAAGTGCTATACGTTAAGCAACAAACAGTGGTAGACGCTCATTTTAGGAAGATTTTACGGGTGTAGAGTTCGAACATAGAATATTGGGCAGTATGCGTCACGTTCGCCAGCGTATATCTCCATGGTGGCTACATTCTGGTACCTTTATTGGCTGTGAGGCAGCTTTGTGAGGCTCATGTCAAAAGGCAAGAGACTGAAGAAGGGTAGATATCAGACGACGAAGAGCGAAGAGAGCAGATAAACGGGTGAGGCGACATACGTCAACAAAGTGCTGATTGCCATCATTTCCGAAAAAGATTCACTGGCGAAGAGTCGTGGAGCCACTTGAGTAATATGTGCTTCTACAATTAGCGCCTCTGTTTCTCAGCTCTGGGAAATCTGCTCAGCCGCTGTGTTGACACATTCGGCCTACAGACCCTGCGAGGGAATCGGTTTCTGAACTGGTCGTGGAATGCGTCTTCAGGACTGGTTATGAATAATCCAACCGCGCCAAATCATTGAATATTTCTAAATTCAATCGGTAGCTCAGACAAACTGAACAGCCTAAACGCTCGAGTTATACGGTCAAGCAAGATGTGTGGGTGGAGATTTCATTCCCCGATGCTGCTTTGCATGGACAGAGCAATGGTGGATCAGGAACATGATCCCTGTCCTATTTCCTTTCCATCATTCAAACCGGGCCTTGACGCTGCTTGATTTATCTGGAGAGGTTTTCGGCCTTTTAGCCTTGGTCACAGAAGATATTTTTCAAAGGTAAGTTTTTAGCTAATTGAAGAAAGAAACACGCAGGTGGAGCAAGGCAGGGAGGATTAGTAACTCAATCCTATTTGGGATTTGATGAAATGGAGAGTAAGGAAAAGACGCCGAATCGCGACTGAAGGACCGCACTCGAGGAGACGGTGGAAGAGTGGATGGGTCAGGACGGCCAAACTAGTCTGGCACAGCTGTAAACAGTTGTCCACCCATCTTTTTCTTTGGAGTCTGTGATAAAATTGAGTAGCTCCGTTTACCGTTTTGTGTTGTCGGATTGAGGGTCAAATGTAGGCAGAAACGCAGAACTCACTTCTCATCCCATTCACGATCAGCACGATGGAATGCCACCAGACGTCCTTTGGAATCGATCGCTAGGCCAGAGACCTCTCCCAAAGGTTTGGAGACTGGCAAAATGAATGCCTGAAATTGCAATTAGTAGAACTGCTAGAACGCTCGAGGTATTTGAACACACTGAGGACGATTTCCTCTTCCCTATAATTTCTGTTACTTCTCTGAGGCGAAATAGAATGGAGAAGTTGCAGGAGCACTAATGGTTACAATTAGTGAGGAATGAAGGGGGACTTCATTAGCGATATATTCTGGAGAAACTGGCTTGGTAACCACGGCGCGATTGAGATAGCAGCGGAATTTCGTAAAATATACAGGAAATCTTCGCTTTTAAGCCGCCTATGTAGAACGCTAAGAAAGAAACACCAATCCTAAGAGGCAGCGCTAGAATCACTATCCAAGAGAAAAGTACATTTTGAGTGCTCTGTCGTCAGCCCTTTCACTAATCATTTTGGGTTACTCTACGACAGGCATACTGCAAGAAAATTAGCGTCGTATTATAGCGCCGGCATTATTAAAGACAAGAAAGCCTCAAAGACATTCCCCCCGATCGTATGTTGGATAGGCGTTCAGTTACGAGCCTGTAGTCCTACGTGACTCTCCAGGGAAGAGGAAAGCGGAAAAAAATGGAGACTATCCTAAGAACCCGCTGGTATCCCAACTACACCCCTTTTTTAGTTCCCGCTCCGTGAGTTCCCCGGACAGAGCGATATCCTGTCTCCTCTGGCTCCAACCTATGCGCTTTCTCCTCATGTTGTCACCATCTAAGAGAGGAAAATTACATATCCGTTGTGCAAAACTGAACCCTAGTGGCCAGAAAGTCACGTCACTTTTTTCGTGACCACGAGACAACAAAGAAGACGTTAGAACTGCCGCTTATGAGGGCCGCAGCGCCTTCGTCACTCCTTCTGAAGCAGCGTAAGCAAGACACTCTTAGAGACTGAGGACCGGACTACTTGTACAACGAAGGGCAAACCTACAAACTAGTCCAGCGCAGGACTGTCTTTAACCATCTAGTATTCAAACTTCCGTCACTGCAAGTGATGTCTCGTACAGAGCTTTCTGATTGTCGTGAGGGATATTGTTGAGCGCTATGGCAAAATCGATCTATGTACTACGGATCTATGTACAAAATTTGAGCTCCTAGAAGTTGGAGATCAGCAGTGAAAAAATCGGTAGCTTACAAAATCCTTTTGCCGATAACAAGCAGCGAAAATTGTTGAGTTCATTTCTACAGCGATTTGAGCAGACATCTTTTTGGGATGATGACGCTCAACACTTTGAGGATATTTACTGAAAGGCTCTGCTCTCGCTTTTTCGCGGCAACTATATGAGAGGTAAAGCGCAATTCTTGCCTGCGCCTTTGGAATTAAGGTCGTGTGTCGCGTTTCATGACGGTGTTTCTTCAAGTGCCCTTTTCGGCTGACTTCAGAATGGACTCGAGAGTGCGTATATGAGCGCAGAATCGGCGTGGTCCTTGGCCCGGAGCATTAATTTCGCACGTTTCCGGCAAGCAACAAAATGAGCCCGATGAGACACGCATTCCCAGTCAATCTACCCGATTGTAATCGCTGTGATCTTTTGGAAGATAGAAGGGGCGATAAATATCTCAATGCTTATGTCGTACCATGAGAGCCTTCTCCTTTGGATGAACACAGGATTACTCATTTAATACTACTAGGTTACGGTAAAAGCTAAATTGTTAAGAGTATGCGCCTAAATGGACTGTCATCCCTGCCGCACATTTTTCACTTAAAAGCTGTTCCTCTATTCAGAAACTGACCTCATTCTGCTCTTCACCTTCATCGTCTTGTAGCTGCTCGTCGTCGACGGGAGTTTGCATTTCTGCATCTTCTGGCAGGTTGTACATTTTCTCTGTTCGGGTCATCAAGTGGGGGTTTAGGGGCCGCTAAAGTGCCGGCAAATAGGCCCAGAAGAAGTAGCAGGCCGGCCTGCATGTCGCGAGTAGTGAGGCTTGAATCGATAGACCTCAGACCGCGCCTCCGGGAGACGGGACGGCGCTCGACGTCATCGGCAACGACGTGCTACTCGCACTGAAACACTGACTCTCACTAACAAGGAAGTCAAATGAGTCAACAACTCAGTTCCAAGCCTTTCTGTAAATATTATTGGCCTGCATGTAGTGCCTTGGGGCATGCATCCCATTTCCTGTTTTGTTTAAGTGGGTGTGCTTGGATATACATATGCATGTAGATGACATAACATCACTCAAGGGTAGGAGTACTAGGGCTCAATATAGGTTGCCCAAAAATTATTCGCGTGATCTGACACGACCTGAGTCGACTACACAGTCTCGAGCTAGTCAGCAACAACAAGACATTTCCAAACAGATTGAGTCCCCTCGACCCACGCCGGCAGATGCAATGTGAAGACAAAGTGCGTTGCACACTCCACGCTGTGGTCCGCGGTGTCTCACTGCCCCATCCCAATCCCTAGCCTCCTAAAGCGCTTCCAATGTGCTCTCGTATCAGCTTAAGGCAGCCTTGACACGATAAACCTTAAGACGATTGGGATTGATACACCTGGCAGGACGGAGTTCCACACCCTTGAGTAGGTGCTGCGTAGCGCTTTTTGCAAGGAAGGTACCCTTATGAGGACCTATCAACTACAACATACCGACCCGATCGCTCACCGCTCAACCTCACTCACCCTGAGCGACCGTACCTGATGCTCGTATTGCTCCATTGGCATAATGAAATATAGCGAAGGGATTGGTGTGAAGTGGCTGCGGGCCTAAAGGATATATGAATACGTGCAGCCGTACCTACCGTAGCGGTTATGGGCAAGATGCCCGAGAAACTCGTCCGAATCGCTTTTCGAGTTCTTCCTACTCCTGATCGCGGACCTTCCCTCAAAAGACAAACTGTGCTTTCACCTCCGAGCATAGTTCTTGCCATGTGCGTGGCGAGGGCAGCATTCCACTTCTCCGCTCAAAGATGCACGGAAACTGGTCGAGGAGTAGTGATACTCGGTAGCGGCACCATACTCCCCCTCCCTATTCTCAAGATGCAGCACTTGCGCATACAATTTGCCATCAGCGAACAACGCACAAGAGAAAAATGAGGTTAGGGGGAGCGCAGGCAAGTAGCACTTCTGACCATAGTCAGAAATGCGGCGGTGCGGGCAGAATATGGGGCTAGTATCGGGATTCCTCTACCCTCTTTCCTCGTTCTCTTGCATTTTTGAGCAGAGAAAATGAAATTCTACCGCTGATCCGTTTTCCCCCCTCACCTCCATGGAATGGGCAACGAAGATCCATGGAGGTGAGCGTACAATTGTCTTTAACGCCGCTACCCTACTACTTCCTGGAGCGGAACTGTATAGGATTGCCCCTTGATGCCACATTTCCTTTCCTCACGCAAGTCCCAATTCTTTGAGATAGTAGGTCAAAAAAGATGCGTACCGAGAAGTAAGCCGATTAGGAGATTTGTTGTTTGTGCATGCGAAGGAACAAGAGAAGTGGCTTCACACTAGCTGTGGAACACAGTTTACCAAACACATACCGCATGATTTTATTAGGGACTTGCGCTCGGGTTCTAGAAGGATATTAATTTCGTTGACGATCGAAAGAATAGAGTTCTGGGTCGAAGAGGCTTGTTTTTTAAACCAGAAGTTGAGAGTGGCTCTTTTTTCAACCGGAACTTAAACTCAATCTTTCGATGTAGATGAGGAGTAGAAGGTCTAATATTCAGGGACATACCATCGTTGGGGATTCCCCAACAAAGGAGAAGGGGGAGGGGTCGCATTCGGACAGGGAGGGTCTTACGGACCCGGCAAAAATCCCAACCAATGATGTGCCCTGGTAAGACAATCTTCTGTGGCATTCGCTCTAGCCTCTTAGACTATATTATAGTTTGCGAGTCCGAGTTTCATAGGGATTTGAGTGCCGGTCGATACCGTTGCCATTCTTTTCGCTCAAGACGCTGGATCAATATGCATACTTTCCCTTCGCTTATAAAGCTCGATCCCCCAAAAGCTCACAACTACGGCCCAGAGTAGCAACGCACTCTTGAAGAGTGCACAACTAGCTCCCCATTGGCCATAAGTTCTCTCAGAGTGATTTGCAGAGCGCTGTTTATTGACAAAAAAGTCAGGTATCTGGGACACGATGTAATTTGAAGCTTCATCACTCCTATTTACGCTCAATTACCTCTTCAAACCTCGCATCAAGTGAATTGAATATTTTTGACGACGAGCAGACAGCTGTCACGTGCAACACACTGCCTTAATGAACCTCTTTTCGCTAATATTTAGCGCAGATGGCGCGAGCTGTCAAGCTTCACAAGCTCTGAAGGTTTTACCGGGATATTATTATACCTGGTATTGACTTATAAATTTTCAGCTCATTCGACGAGAAGGAGGTCTTCAACAAGAAACTCGGTCCAATCAAGAACGCCACGATAGCCGTAATTCGATCCAAGCAATGGAAAGGTATTATATCTTTCTTGATTTCTTCCATTTCACAATATGTGTATTCTGAGTGCTATCGAGTATCCATATTGTGTCAGATATGGGAGGGACATTGCTCATAGGAGGACCCAAGGGTTTGCAAGCTTGAAGGATGTCAATGTTTCGAAAATCACCAAAATTATAAGTGCACTTTTTTAAAGGCATCGGATGTGTTGGCTAAGAGGTGGGGCAGCAACTCCTGCATATGTGACTGGAAAACTTCTTAGTATACCCACCCCTTTCCCTACCCCCCTCTTAGGTGCTATTTGCCAAATGCCCTTCAACCAATGACGATAGGGTTGCTGGCAATGCACCATCGTACCCATTGTCTGTAGGACAATCAGGATTCGCTTAAACGTTGAAACCTGGCGAAGCACACTTGGCAAAGGCCATGTTTCTCAACTGCTGAAGTGTCTACTCGAGTATTTGTTGGCTCGTTTTATCATACTCTTACATTTTCCACCACCCGATTTCTTCTCTTTATCAAAGATAGTCCGCGCGCTCAGCAATTTCGCACGCGTCCTTCCTAGATCTATAGTAATCTGGTGCGCAGTCTCCAAGATTCCTCTCTTTCGTGGCTTCACAGTGACAGTTTTTATGAAATTTTTTGTTTTTCTTTTGCTGCTAGATAGTATTAGTAGTGGATGACGCGAAGAAACGATTAGTGACCCAAAGCCGGCAGGATATTGCTTTGCTGGCATAATACGAGCAGGGTCCGGAGAACTCGTACCGTAAGGCTGAAAGGAGTCCTTAAAGGGTCTCCATGATTGTTTTGCTTTCTTCTTCCCTAGAGAGTCACACGATTATAGGCTTGTAATCAAACGCCACTATTCACAATATGCAATCGCGAGCTTTGTCATTAGAAAAAAAATTTCACACATTTATGGACTTGCTGAGATGCGATTCGAGTCCACTTACTCGGTTGGTGCGGGTGAAGGAACTCTGTGTATTATCACTTTCATTTCTAGCAAGAGTAGAAGCCATTAAGCTCAGTATCATATTCCAAAGATCTCTCGACGTCCCATTGTTTGTTTCACATCTGAACGATTTTTGTTCTTTGATCTCAATGAATGCAGCGCTGATAATATACAATTACCCATCATTAATGGGTTCTGATATAGGATGGCAAAGCTTCATCTCCGGGGAACACTGCACGCTTGAATGCAGATGCTGAAAGTTTTGAAAAGCAATTTTGCCAAAAGACAGACGAAAAGGTAATTTCAATGTTACAGATTCTCGAAGAACATGGACAGAACTTGTTCTACATGCCGCACGGTATTACTATCGACGAGAAGGGAAATTATTGGGTTACTGACGTCGGAAGCCATCAGGTAGGCTTATCACCTGCAGTAATAACGAAGCGTCCAGTAAAAACAAACAACAAAATCAACGCCAACAAAAACCATAATATATACACGTTTGTATTTTAGGTGCACAAGCTAGACACGTCTTTCCGCCCCATCTTGTCATTGGGAGAGAAACTCGTTCCGGGCAATGATGGAAGCCATTTTTGTAAGCCGACCGACATCGCCGTGGCGAAGAATGGTTATTTCTTCGTCGCTGACGGATACTGTAACAGCCGAGTGCTCAAGTTTGATCCCAGCGGAAAACTCGTCGACAGCTTTGGAGCCGCAGGTGGTGCGTATTTAATGTATTTATTGAATTCTCATAACATTGGTAGTTTTGAACGCGCTTTCAAAAGAAACTCGCTAGCTCAGAACAAATACGCATGAATTCTGAGCGAGCATGGTGCCCGTCTACGTTGCTTCAACTTGGACTCCGTCGCTTCAAAAATCGTTTTCTTTCATTTCCAAAGGGCTGAGCCTTTTTTTTGATACCTCAACCTTTTTTCTGAGATAATTTCGTATCTCATTAGCTGAGATGTCTTTCGGGAGCAACTTTTCTTCGTTTTCCAAGTAGAGGATAACCCCACAAAATCTTCTCATCTCTAACCATATGCACCGGATCGGACAGGGCGTTGCTGCGCACTTCATTCAGACATGGCGTAAAGTCCGTTTTCCGCGGGATGTTCCTGTTTGTGGCAATTGTTACCCCTTCTTGCGTTGCAGAGCTTGATTGTAACGGACGCGAAACCGCAACGCCACACCAAACGCACAACAGCCGCACTTACAAATAAGTGTGCAATCAATCCCCTTTCACATCCGAAATAGGCGGGGATGGGTGTGTAAGGGGTACTACCTGTTATGGGAAAATGCAGAAGTCTAGGCATCTTCGTGGCTTCGTGCTGCGTAACTTCTCGAAGAGAAACCAGCCCAGGTCTCGAAATCACGTTTGTTCATGCACTGTATAACCCTTCCACTGTTCCGTTGTACTCACGGTACGGTAGATCTTTTTCACACGAGGGCGGACGAACGAGGGCGTGATGTTTCTTCATCGAACCAAAACCTGAAAAACACACAGACCTTTAAAGAACCGCATTGAATTTTACTGACAAGCGACTTATATTTGATTGACAAGCAGGGAAAGGCACTTTGGAAATTGAGGTATCAACCATGCCGACTGGCAGAATTCAGTTCTCAACAATTTTATTGTATTGCCTTCGATATGTCTGCGGCGACATACTTTTCTAAGGGTCGCCCTTTACACTCATTTGGCCACAGAAGGCCTCGGCACGGGTCATGTACAGTCTCGTTCGGTGCAGAGTTGGTGGGTGTCACTGGGCCGATTCTGCCGTGACGGCAACTCGCTCTCTTTTCACAACGTCAAGCGGCAACAATTGGTGAAAGACACACACATCAAACCCGGCATACCTCACACACCCAAGCATCCGCAACGACACGGCTGTACAGACACACAACCGACTTCGCCTGCAGATGTCAGTCCCTCATATCCTGGATTGATAGCAGACATGTCCTTCGGCATTATATGGCCTTTTTCAAAACGCTCGCCACTGTGCACCTAGCTGCCCCCGTTACTAAGGGATCGACCAGTGTGAACGACAATTTTTCTCTATGTATCAGAAGAACAGCCCATAGATACCTGCTAATCTGATGTTGCTGCTGCAGGCTTTTCAAATATCGGAATATCCTCCCTCCGGGACAGCACGGAACTTCGACAATGTTACTATCCACCGTGCGGTTCCAGTTAGTATTTTGATCAGAGCCTGTTCTTCTTTGAAACTGTGAGCACCATGACATGACAACTACGACACCTGGTAAAGCTGTGCATGCCTCAATACCAGGATTACTCCTTAAGAATGATAGGAAATGGGAAGTTTTCGCGGGTGGTTCTGTTTGCAAAACAGTGGAAAGTTGCCACCAGAAAGATATCTGTGTCAGTAAGAAGTGATAATGCTTAAAGGAAACGTGGGTAACGACGGATTCAATTTCGTGACACACACACACACACACACACACACACACACACACACACACACACACACACACACACACACACACACACACACACACACACACACACACACTTCGTAACTCAAACTTAGTCTGGTGTTGGGGGCCGGCCTCTCAACCAGTACACAGGCGTGTACTGGTTGAAGAGGCGGGCCCCCACCACCAGACGTTCGATACTCAATGGCCCACCGACTGCTGTGGGTGCCATTGGAGTACGAACGCCCTGAATGAAGTGTCTCCATTCTGGTCGATTAGCAGCAATACGTCTAGCATGCTCAACACTGCACCTCAGAGCCCTAAGGTCTTCTTCAACTTGCTTCAACCAAGTCTTCTTTGGAGCCGTCCTCTGAACTTTCCACTGCGCAGGGCGTTTTCTCCACAGGAGCATATTAGGTATTCTGTCGTGACCCATCCTGCACAGATGACCGAACCATCGTAGCCGTCGCAGTTTCAATTGTTCCTCGATTGTGGGTTGATCTTCAAACTTCTCCCTGATGGCGTTGTTCGTGACATGGTCACGAAGCCTGATCCCGAGCATATGGCGGAGACAACGCATTTGAAACACCTCGAGATGAGAGAGATCCGACTTGAGCAACGTCCATGTCTCAGACCCATATAGTAGCACCGGGAGCACCAGCGTCCGGAACATGCGAATTTTGGGTTTCACAATCCACACACACACACACACACACACACACACACACACACACACACACACACACACACACACACACACACACACACACACACACACACACACACACACACACACACACACACACACACACACACACACACACACACACACACACTTAGCGAATTGGGGCGATTAGGATAGAAAGTAGATTTAGATGTATAGATAATGAGTAACTTGCAGCAATCCGGCACTTTTAGCACAAGTCCTGTAGCCAGACTTCTTTTGATTTCTAATGAAGCACATTTCGGCTTTGCGATTTCAAGCGGTGAGGACACACAAAAATCCACTTGCTAATTCACTTGAGACCCCTTTAACTTCAAGTACTACCCAAGCAAGCAGCAGAAGGGGTGCGTGTGGATGGCCTCCTGGCTGTGCACTGTCTCTAGAACAGGCAAGAGCTCCTGAACAGTTCCGGAAATTTATATTAGGTTGGAAGGAAAGTTCCGTCAGTGTTTTTTTGAAAAGCTTACATTTTTTTGTTTCTTGATGCTCGTACATTGGACGGAACATTTGCTATGCTTGTAGGACACCCCTGGGAGCTTTCCTGCAAGAGGCGTGTGAGGGCGCCTGCTCTTCCCTGGGTTTAATTACGATGTCATTTTCACAAGGGTATCTTCGCGTCATCATCTTCTATCAGTGGGCCCCGCGGCACTGGAGCCACGGCAGCTGTCCGCAACATCAACTGTGCATTGAGAAAGGAGACCACTATCGTCAGGATCGTCCACTTTTAGTTCGCTCGCTTGGCGAAAAGAAACTCGATCCTCGAAGGCAAACCTTGGTTGGCAGACGGCCCGTAGGAAGTATAAGACTCACCATTCTCAAAGCAGGACAAGGACGGATCAGAAGCTACCACCCGCAGTCTGCGACAGACTCTCGGATGTACCTAACTGACAGTCGTCCACCGCCTGTAAGCCTTTGACAACCAAGAAGGTACTGGCTTGGTGGATCATTCATACCTTGACCGATGGCACGCTGTGCACCCGGGTACCCCTTGGTCAGTCTCCCATTCTCTGCCCTCGTCAGAAACAGTTTCCGGGAGACTGCTTAGTGGGGATAAAAAGATGGGTCCTCTATGATTTCCAACTCACACAGTACCGTTTGTCTCTCTCAAGGAGAAGATCCACTCTAGCAGTCCAATCTGGGCATGTACTCCGAAAAGGTTCTCCTGTGCTGCTCCTGGGACGCGAGGAGGTGCTGCAGAACGAGCTGCCCATAAGAACAGACGGTCACCGCCACCATTTATGTCGCTCAGCTCCCGAAACGAGTGAAAGATTGTTGGAGAAAAATGACGAGGCTGCTTCGCGAGTCACTCGTTTCGCCCCCCCCCCCCCCCCCCCCCCCCCCTAGTACCACAGATCCCATACCTGCTTAGAGTCCCTACGACTGCTAGCTCCGCCTCCTTAGGCTTTCTTAGCTAAGAAAACTTTCAGCAATTTTGATGACATCAGTCGAGAGGGCGCTGACTTACTCTACTCGCAGCCTTCTCAGTTCTGGGAGGAGGGGAATGCTTACCCTGTCCATTGGGTGGAGCACTGTAGTGGCTAACTATGACGAGTACAGGGGGGCCAAAAAAAAGTCATTCCGGCCGAGTCACATATGAGCGAAGTTTTCGCAGCCCAGACAGAGGAAGTGGATATGAGTACCAGGGCGGAAGATACCCAAGATCTTCCTCTATAAGCAGGAGCCGGCTGCCGCCATTCACCTTCATGTACACCAAAATATGAAGTCATCTCCAGTCGCGGCCTGAGTGGAGAACGCCTTTGGAATTCACGTGGCCTCCAAACAGCTGCGGAACTTCTTGAATGGAATCACCCATGGATAGCTACCTGGAGACCAGTACTCTTGATCTGCAAGACCTCAAACATCGAGCAGCTCCGGCAACGTCGCTACGGTCCAGGACATCATCTTCACCCCATTCACCAAGGCGCGGGTTGATGGTGTGGACCGGCCGTACCTGGAATGGGAAGACCGATATTTTCTTTGTAGACCCCGACTGAAGGTGAGCGCTGGCGGTTACATCAAGTAACTCGAGAAGGATATCCTCCCTACATGTGGTCGCCCGTACCTTCTTGGAGACCTTGTGCTGCTACAGGTTTGGGTGCCACCACATGGAATCGAAGGGTTTTGGAAAAACTCCCGCCTACTTCGAATGGAAGGGCGTTTCGTACCTGATGAAGATGTAATATTGAAATATGTCCCCTGACCTGAACCCACTCAATTACCTAGTTCGGGCGGAGCTCAACAGGGTGGTCTACAGTGGCGGAGAAATCAACGATCTCGCTCAACTCCGGTACCCACTCACTTTCGCGCGGCCGAATCTCTCGATGGCGCTCCTCCAGAAGGCTGTGGCGGACATTATAGTATTTAATGTGCTCTTTAATATGGTAGTAAAAATGTCCGATAAAAATTTAATAAAGTGTAACTTATAGCGCCTGAAAGTCATGGAGGCAAAATGACTTTTTTTGCCCCCCCCCCTAGATTGTTGACTAATTCCCACTGAGTTAGAAAATAAGAAAGAGAAAAAAGTCACAACAGTGACAAGACTTTCCTTCCAACCTATATTAAGGATATATTTCTTTCTCCCTCATCATTTCACTATAACTCATGTGATCATTATCTTTTCCTGTGTTCACAAAGTAAATCGCAAGTTTCCATGACCGCGAAGACTTGTGGATGACGAGGTGGGCGTGTGCCTACTGGGAGTACGTCATAACCTTGCAACCGCCTTTGCGGCATACATTCGAGCGACGAAAGAGCACCTAATCTGTGGTTGAGAAGGTGATGATCTCTATCCACAATCATCTTAATAGTGGCGAGCTGAGTATTAAAACCAAATCTGCTTACTTAATTCCATGTTCTTTCAGTTCACAAAGAAATTCTAACTTACCATTAGTACACAGCACAAGGGAACCCTGTGCACTTGCGCCTTCAGTCTCACCTGTGCATAGGTGAAATTCGAGTCACACTTTAATCCACTTGTTTACAACAACGACGATAAAGATTATTTCAAAATAAAGAAGCTCGTACACTTATTCATCTCTTCCCGATCTCACTAGTAAACAAAAAAGCCCACAAAGTTGATTTGAAAAAGGAGCTATATGGGTTCAAACAAGGACACAGAACAATCTTCTGCGATGGTCTCCCAGTTCCTTCCTCACTTCCAACGACTTCTCCAGTCAAGAGAGTTGTAATGAGCTCGTGAAGAGTCTTTCACGGCTAATGAGTCGACCTCTTCGTGGAAATTGCCTTTGAGTCATGTTTTCATCCTAACCCCTACAGCATGAGACTACTGAGCCGAGAAAAATGTGAGATCCGAGATAAACCAAGTTGCGCTGAAAGCTGTTGTGTGTTCATGCCCCATCCATTCATATTACTTTTATAAAACGATGTGTTCACATTTTGCTAATGAAAAGATCATTCCTTCATTTCTCTCATTCGTGTTAATCACGTAGAAATCACTCGGCGACCGTAGGCCTCATGCTTCTCCAAGCCTTTTTAACAAGTCTATTGAGTAGATAGAAGATTGAGCTTGAGTCAGGAGGACTAGAGGAGGAGGAGGTGCCAGTGGAGCGCGAAAGCAGCAGGGGACAGAGAATAGCGCCGCTCTCGGGGCTCTAATTGCATTCTGGCGTTTCAGGGTTTTTCGTTGCGTGTGTGTGTAGTAATAGGAAAGAGCAGTCTGTTGACGAGGTTTCATTTCAGATGAACTTGGACCATCGGAATTCGTCATTCCTCACTCACTGGCACTCATCGAGGATATGAATCTCATCTGCGTAGCTGACAGGTTGGTGTTGTGAACTAATTTTGGCTGGAGAAAGATATCCAAACGATTAACGAAAAATGATTGTGAAGAAGGCTCCTCTTCACGTCACCAGCTCAACACATACTGTGACAGAATATTGGCAGGGAAGCGGAATGTTACAGTAGACAAAAAAATTTAAAGAAGTTTCTGAACTTCAGGGTATCACTTATATTCCTCAACTTTTTTTTCAAAAATGCGTTTTTCGGCGCCTAGGGTGAGAGGATATTGGATCGCGCCACGAACAGATACTACGCTCGAAATCCGGTGGTCGTGGCTGAGTGTCTCAAAGAACGTGGTGGTGATGGTGTGTGTTTGTGCGGCATGTCTTAGTCTACACCAGAAACAAGATGACAGCTGCTTCAAATTGGAATATCTCACGAGACCCGTACCGTGCAGTGTTCAATGCCACGCCTACTCCGTCTTAGTGATAAAAAGTGTATGAGTCACTATTTGTACACGGAGCTGCTACACGCCGCAAAGTGCTCGCTACCTGAAGAAGTGACCGACGCCGAGCAACTTCTCGGGGATCCGTTTCTTCCGGCTGGACTGGACGCTTTAGCGTGCCACAACGACCTGGATAGGTCTGGATCCTTTAAAGTGAATCTCATGTTCCACAAGCCATGATGTCCCACTTAAACGAATCAACGTGAGATACTGTGGGTGGAACCGAAGTTTGGGTATTTTCCGCACTTGGGAACGGAGATCTCTGGACGCGATCATAAGGCGAACACTATCACCGCTTTCGATCACCAGCTGAATTCGATTTGTCGACTCCGCATCTATCAAACAGGCGTATGCAGACGAAAAGTTCATCTCTTTTGTAAAGACACGATACCATCAACAGTAGAAGAATATACCCGTTGGCAGCCTTGAAGAGATTGATCTCCTTGATCTTGCATACTCTCCTCTTCTAAGCTCATGCGCCTGCCGTACCTTTAACCTTATTTCAAAGCGCTGTGATGAGATATGATTCCGGAATCATTCGGACATCAAGGACGTGACTGAGGAACAGATTTGGCAGCCTAACGGATTATAGAGAGCCTGCATTGACTCTTTTTTGGGCAAGTTCGCGCACCTGAGGGGTCACCATGGTCACATTATCTCGCTCTAAATTGTTGTTTTCGAGAACTGAGCAAGTAGATCTTTTGGATCGAAAAGGTACGAGCTTGTGGGACACCCTGATACTGATACTACGTTGAACAGTTCCATAGAATGCGCCACACCTATGACTTCTACTGGGAGCAGAAGAGCATTGTCATGCGTAAGGCCCAGTTCGAGTGCTGGTTGGAAGTGAGGGTCTTGTGAAGAGACACGACCATCCACTCATGGTTAGCATCTTGCATAGAAATCGTGGCAATAAATGCAATTAAATAAAATGAGCTTTTACAACATTTTCAATAGTTGGACGGTTAGACGATGAAGAAACATAGGAATCAGCTGAAAGTAAAAAAAATGTAAAAGAAGAACAATGAAGCAGATTGCCAACCCCTAAAAATGCACCGATCCAAGTCCTTACCACTGGTAAAGTGCAACCATATGAGTGTTCGAAGCCATACTGTATGTTAATTGTGCATTTTCTCGTCTTATATAGATTGCTGTGATGATCGCTTCAAATCACATGTAACACATACGTGAAGAAATCCAGCTTCTAAAAATCCCTCAGACTTATCATCATAATGACTCTGATAAGGGTCCAAACCTACTAGTATGTCGTCATAGTCATAATTTCCGCAAACGATGGGGTGTGTGACGGGGCGTGAATTGTGACGCTGCTAAGGCTCCCTTTTCCATGCCACTAAGTTCGCAAGCGGCGCTCCAATATCCGCCCCTTCACACGCCCTATCGTTTGCAGGGATCATGATTACATTTGTGGGCTACAGAATTTCGCCCTGGTGGGGAGGGACTTTGTCCAACTTCTCCTTCTTTACTTCCACGAAGCATGAGTCAATATTTCTGAGAGCTGTGAGAAAAAACAGGCAGATTCTGCGTTCGCAATAGCTCGGAATCAACAAAGCATCCACTCTGGTGGAGAATGAAAGAAAGTGATTTTGGATTCGTCCCTTATGATTAGTGCTGCTTAACGCCACAGTTCGCACTCCGAATGCTATCACAACAATGCTGAGGTGTGGAAAAAATGTGTAAAATTACTTCTTTTGAATATATTCACAACTGTGTTAAATGTTCAAAAGAGAGTGTTTTATTTGAAGAAACGTTCCCGTAAAAGGACACGCCATCGAACCTTCTCTTCCTTTGGCAAACAAGAGCTTGCACTTTCTTTTTCAGAAAAGTGCAACAAATGAGCATCGGGATATTCTGAAAAAGCATTAGCAGTGGTTACATATGCGTGACGCAGTCCTAGAATACTCAAGGGGATCTATACAACACGCGACATCCCTCATGTAGGCGAGCATTCATAATTTCTCGGCTCCTGGTTTCTAGGAATTGGCTACAAAGTAGCCCATTAGGCTTACTAGGGATTCGTGGTCCTCGTAAGCTGTGGTCCGGTTGTCTCATGCATTTCCCCTCTTTCAAAATCATGGTGACATTCGACGCGTTGTATAAATTTTGTGAAATGCGACCGCCTCTCACAATCTTCATATCAACCTCACCAGAGAGGGGGAAGGAGGAGGCGGATGCACAGCGATTTAAAACGGAGATTATCACTACTTAAAAAATTTCAATTTTCAAATGCAACCCCTTCCACCTAGTTACCAAATACGACCCCCGCTGTGTTTTCCATAACGGTATGTGCCCGGATTTGAATGGTTGTTTCTCATACCTCTGGAAACTGGCCTGACTACAAGTCGGAATATCATCCCGTGTAGACTCATCGGTTCCTCCACGTATATGACTTCCACCCGGGACTCTTCCATACAACTAACCATAAGAGGGTCAGCAGAAGCACGAGTCGCTATGTCGCCTTCTTCGACCAATTAGCGTACCTCGTAGGGATGAAAGGCTTAATTAGCCTAGATGGGGTTACTTCTGCGAACAGAGTGAGCGGGGAAAAAGTGTTGCTGTTTCCCCCTAGCTGTACTGCGTTTCCTGAGCGAGCTCATCTCCAATCTTATGGATTCACTGGAAACTGATTGTGCTTCAAAAATTTTCCTTCGCACTACAGCCGCTTTGCGAAAAAACCCTTCTAAACTACTGAGAGGTTCTCCATTGGGCCTTTCATTATGATTTCTCCTCTAACCTAAGATCCATTTTACAGAGAAAACGAAAGAGTCCAATGCTTCTCAGCTGGTCTCGCCGAAGGTCATCGAACAATTCCGGCCGGTATTCCCATCACAAGCGCTGAGCATATCGGAAGAGTTTACGCAATCAGAGAAAAGAGTGAGTTACCTCCGCCAGGATTACGGTAATAATTGTTGAAACGGATTTTTCCAGAACATTACCTCATCGGAGTGACCGGTCGTGACGAGGAGGACCAGCTATCACCACAGCTGTTCGTCATGGATATGGCCAACGGGAAAGCCAATACTTTCATTAAGGTACAAATTTTTGCCCAAGTCTGCCATTGAAAAGTTCTAACAAATGCAGTAGGTAAAAGCTGACGCGGGCGGTTGTTGTCAGCGTCATTGGTGAAGGGGCTGAAGGAGGCTTCGGGCCAAGCTGCCCAACGCTTTGTAGTGGTGTGGCCAATACCATTCTACCAATGATGTGGGTAACAACCGACCATCAGCAACCGTGCCCACTGGTTTCGCATAAAATAAAGAAAAAATGTACGAATAAATGATAGGTGGTCAATCATCTAGATTTTATTCATGCAAAACAACACATTTTCTCACTAAAGGAGGAGTAATCTTCTCAAGGATAAATCGAGCCTGAACTGGCATGGGCGGGATTCCCAGCTATCGCAAGCCCCTAGCCCCTTTGTCACGCACTTGAAGGCGAAAGCTCAAACGCAGCAGGCATTTTCAGTCTGCATTGTTGTGTTTCGTAGTATGTGTGTAGATGGCGGCTAATGCCGTTTGGACTCCAGAAATTTCGTCTTCGAGCTCATTTTAAAAGTGGCAAGATCACCAAATCCGCTAAAAACTTGTATATAGGGGTAATTCAACATCCTGATCACGAATATGACATTCATTTTTGGCGCTGGCGCTAATGGATGACACTACGGTTACCTGCGCTCTGCTAAGGCTGAGCCCAGGAGGTAATCGTAGTGTCCTCTCTTGGCGCCAGCGCCAAGAATGAGTGTCATACTCGTAATCAGGATGTTGAATTACCCCTATATACAAGTTTTTAGTGGATTTGGTGACTTAGGCAATTTGAAAATGAGCTCGAAGACGAAATTTCTGGAGTCCAAACGGCATTAACCGTAGATGGCAGTAGAATAGGCAGAGATGTTTACTGGGGAACTGAACTGAACTGAACTGCACCTCTCGCAATGACCGGTCTATGTATTGACTCGAGATCACTGATGGTGGTTGTTATTGTAAACAAAAGTTATATTCGCGGTAGGTACCGCTCCGGTATCTGACACGCCCCTTTTTAGAACATGGAAAGGGAAGCGATCAGCTGATATCACTGGAGGTCCACCTGAATCCCTGACGGGGGCGTCGCGTCGATCTTCGTGACTGCTCATTGTTGTTCGGCGTTGTTGGCATGACGGCATTTGGTCGTACTGACTTTGACGAGTGCAAGTTGAACTTCTCGAACAGTGTTTCCACATTGTCGGTACTGAACGGTGGCACATCTTGAAGTCGTTAACGGAGCTGATTTGCATGTCGCACCCAGATTTTGTCCCCAAGTAGGACCTTATAGAGCACTCGTCCTACTCGTTGAAGCACTTTTCCATCGTGCCACTCTGACTGGTTTCCGCAGTATTTTCGTGCGTACACGGGATCGCCTTGACTGAAGGAACGTCTTCGGGCGCTTCTCGTTGAACTGTAGTTCCATTGGAGTGTTGTGCGTTTGCTTTTCTTGTGGAGTCGGCTTGAGCAGCGAGAGCAGTTCGTAGTTCTGCTTAGAGTCGTTCGATATCCCTATACATTGCTGGGAGGGGGCATACATTGCCTGAGGTTTCGGACGAAACACTTGTTTGGCGTCTTCCTTGAGACGTGGTGTAGCTTCTGACAGCTTGTATGGTCTGAAATCGTTGCTGAAGATTGGTGGATGAGCCTGTCGTAGTTTTCTGGCATTCCTAATCACCACTGTTATATTTAGTAATAATATTTGTCACATTTACATATTACTTTAGTAGCAATAACTATGTATGATTGATAGCATTATGTGCTTCATGAACCAGTTTGTTTTAGGGAATCGAGAACGCGCATTCGTTGGCGATTTCGGACGAGGGAACAGTGTTCATCTCTCAGATGCATCCGAACCAGATCATCCAGATCTCGCTTCCTGATCAAGCCTGAAGCTTCAACAACAAATTTCTCTTCATGCACACTGTAGCTCGTTCTCACGACACAACCACGGGCCAAGACTTCTATCATTCACCATCTGCACACTGACAAAGCGATAAATGTGAATAGAAAAGAGAGTGTTATAGCCATACCTTACCCTTCTGCAGCTATATAAGAAGTTATTAAAGTTTTTCACACAACAGATGAGAAAAGACTATTAATGAGAGAAGTAGATCAGAAAACAAGCTACTTGTAAGGAGTTTTTCGAAAAGTCACATTACGACAACCTGCAGCTGAAGCTTGCTCGTTGGAGTGGATTTGATAGTGCCCCACCCTAAGCCAGGGACAACGGTTAGACCGTGAATACTTCTCGCATTCCAAGTCAGAACTCCCCCCAGTCACCAAAGTTACCAACAAATTCCGAAGAGTGCTCATAAATTAGGAAATTTCTAGAATTCTTGAAATGACTCAGAGATAACGTTGACAGTCCCATCTAGACTCATTTCTTGCTTCCTGATCAGCAAATTAGAGATGGACTCCAGTTTGAATTTGTGGTGCACCTATGCAATCGGATGCGCTCTCTGACGCATCTCAAATCTGATGTATCGAATTCTCATTCTCAATCAAGACCAAACAAGGCTTGAATGGATCAACTTTACCGATTCAAAATATTTCTGAACGTGGGCACTCCACATCAAGTGCATATAGAACGTTGCAGACTTTTTCTTCAACTTATTCCTGACGGTTTGGTGTACTACCGTCAGATTCTTTCATCCCCAATGATACCATACTCTTCGAGCGTTTTTCTCCTCGACACAGTCAGCAAATTCTTTAGGCCTTTTGTCAGCCAGTGCAGCAAGCATATGTCTATTGTAGGGTCTTTATTCAGTTCGATGATGTCCTTGAGAAGATCGTTTATCGACATATTTTTGTTATCAGTGATGTTAGGAGCAGCAGTAGGTCCACTAACGCCTGAATCGGCAGCACCAGGAGAAGAGGTTCACATTTCCCACATTGTGTCCTTTCTTTTCGCTAACTCGAGACATTTTGTATCACTAAAGAATACTTACCAAAGTAGTGAAAGCAAAATAATGTAGCAAATACCACAGTGATTAGGAAACTCAGTTCTCGAAGTAGCACCAACCACTCTCGACCACTATCCTGAATGGATCTCACCCGGCTTGCCATCGAGAGGTCAGTATTGAGCAGATGTTGGCAGCAGCTTTATACAGTTATTTTATAGAAGCTTCGACCCCCGTTTCAATATTGAGCAGTGTTCTTCACCAAGCTGTGTCCTAAAATTGGTGATCGATGAAATGAATCTCATAAATAAACGTCCTGATGTTCGTATTCTTAACCATCTATTTCGTTCGATACTTGATATTTCGTTCAATGCTTCGTAGTTTTATGTTCTTTCCACACATTCACAGATTCTCGAAACGCATCCAATGTCAACGGGAGAGCGGCGTACTGTAACGCAATTCTTCGCCATTCTCTCGCAACAACAACTCGAATCAATTACTTCTTTACTTTTTTTCTCTTTTTTTCAGTACTTTTTTCTCTCCTTTTTTATATAGACTGCTGAAAGAGAAGTTCCTCCTGCAATCTGACAGGCCTAAAAAAAATTTCAGAAAGTGCGCTTTTTCCTTGTTCGAAGCTTTTTCCCCGCACTGCATGTATCATTTCATACTGTAAGTGGTAGGGTAGAGGAGAACTTTATACCATCAGTGAAACCAGAAAAACACCAATCAATGTGGAAAGCAAACACAAGTAAGAGTAAGAGGAACAAGCGCGCATAAACATAAAAGCATATAAGAATACAATCATGAGAAAGATCAAACTTTATGAAGTCAATGCACAACGCTAACACCATCTAACAATGCAAAAAACGAAAACACTCAACTGAATTCAACAGAAACTAACCTCTGAATTTCGGTAGGCGGTACAACTAGGGAGGCTTCAGAGCTACCACTTACACCGCCTTTGATATTTCCTGTGAACTGGCAAATGTGGGGCAAATGGGTCAGGATGCCTACACAAGGAAGGACGCCTACGAATTACTTGAACGTGGGGACTATCTTTCAATGAACGACCGATGACCTCAATGTCATAGTCAAAGCAGGGATGGCTTCGAATAAGTACTGTAACACACAGTACCTTAGCGTCTTCCACCTTGGTAACCAAAGCGTGTGTAAAACCGTTACCGAATGTTAAAAAAAAGAGTTTCATTGAACGTGAAAGTGTGGTTTCTAACGCGCACTTCCAACCTGAAAAGAAGAGTGCGCCCATGTGACCTTTGACGCATTTGGGAAAAAACTGTGCCGATCAATGTGCAGTTCTGCTTTTGGAAATGGATAACTTCTTTAGAAAGCTCAACTTTAATACTTTGAAAGAAATCCGTGAATTTCTTGATACCGCAGCAGTATGAACAGCAAATTAGCAACTAGCTCTTCTGACTCTTCTGCGAGAAGATTTTACTCAAACATTCGTAATAAAAAATTTGATCGAGAAGAAAGTCCGAACGTTCACCTTTGCAGCACTAATGGTGAGTCTCACTGGTCCACTCAAGGCCGACATCATTCTTGGAAGAAACGGCAGTGGTTAGAATACAAGATATGTAACAGTTGCTAGTGCACTAATCTACCGCTTAGAGGCTCAGTCTTAAGAACTCCATAACTTGGCAGCCATCAGGAGTTGTGTAGAGAAAAGTCTTTACTACTCATGGGGTAGACAAAGACACTTTACCATTCACTTGTTGGGGCATATTTTGGCTTCAAATGACTAAAGCTTTCGAATGTGGTGGAGAACGTCTGAGTGGATTAAAAATAAAAGGTTCATACCGTTTCCGTAGCCGGCATTACTGGAAGAACACGGATATCTACAGCACAAGCTCAGTGCTCGTTTGAATCTATACTTTTGGATATGAATGCGCTTTCCATCGGTTTGCTTAAGCTTGCCTTTTATAACATGTCCAGTTCTCTCTTGCTTAAGCTGAAGCAGAGCTCACCTATTATTCCTTCATTTCCGGCTTTCTATTCAGAGTGTTTGTAGCATTTTCCATAGCAACGTCTCGTGACACATATTCTGTTGTAGCGGTGATACTAGATCGCTAGCATCCCTTAGTGATGTGTAATCGTGATGTGCTGGACGTGTAAACGAATGGGTTTGATCCGGGACGGAAGATGAATAATTGTAAGCATACTTCATTTCCATTTCTCAGATTTTTTTCGTGAAGCTGCAGTATGAACAATGTATTCTACTCAGAACAACTTACTGTCATCTACCTTGAATAAAGGGATCGTTGACAGCGGCGTTTTAATTCCATTTGTGGAAGACGCAATAGCGATTCCGCTGGAAAACTGAGTCTCACACGAGAAATGCTAATTATACTTGTACGTAGGAGAAAACGTCCTCCAGGAGGTAGGTAGACACCGGATCCTTTGCACGATTATTTTTTTGTCCTTGATTGATTGGCATTGCGAACGACACTCGCTCAGGAGTTGCCTTCGGAGGAGTCGAAAGGGAGCTTTTGGCCCGGTATTTGTCAATTCACAGAATATGGCGAGCTGTTCTCTTCTGTCTCCATAGATAAAATTGCAGCTTGAGAGTGTACCGTCCCAGCGTTTATACCTTTGGTCGTGTTTCGTTGCAAAGCTGGTTCGCTTCGCCGAGGTTTCTACGCAATATTAGAGTGTCTGCATTATTTAGATGTAACTCGCATGGCGCATACCTATAGGAGTCAAAAGTTCAGATAGGTCCTCCGGGATAAAACGCTCCATCAGCCCCATGTTCGCCTTTCTTGTAACCTGGGCATTTGGTACTTATAGTTCTAATAACTTCTTTCTTATGCCAAACAGGTTTGTATGGTGGAATACTTTATTTACGCCTGACGTTTCGACAATCTCGTCGTTTTCAAAGGCCTGGAAGCATACCGAAACTTTGGAAACTATCTATCCTATTCAACATGGGCCCGCTCTTAACTAGTTGCAAATCAGACCAAGGAACTAAAGGAACGAAGGAAACTCCAGCAATAAGTTACCTCGTCACTCCACCAGCGCCGAACTGCTCTACTTTTGTCACACAATGGAGCAAATGAGACTCACTGCTATGCACTTCATAGTGTGATAAAGTGCGTACGTGCAGTGCATTACGATCTCACTGTTAAAGCCCGCAAAGTGGGATGTAGGGCAAGAAATCGGCAGTCACTGAGATGCATTCATTCCTGTTGTTCATAGATGGATTACGGTGCTTTATCCAGAAAGCCTCGAGAGTTTTCCTAGCACCAACATCATTTTCGCGAGCCAGTATCGTACACTTGATATCAAAATCACAGCCGCCATGATTTTCCCTCCTATGCTTGCCGAGCGGTGCAACTAAACTTTCGCGTCTTTTGCTAGCCAGGTGTTCTTTTACGCGTATACATAATTGCCTCCCAGTTTCACCGATATATAATGCACCACAGGTCAAACACTGTATCTGGTAAATTACTGCCCATTGTGTACAGTCACCCACTTTTCCATATGGACAGACCACGCAGTTTTCCATGGTGCACGTCCGGTCATAGAGGCGATTTCTGACCAACTGGTGTTTGATATTGTCTTTTGGTTTATTTACTAAAAGAACGTCGTTGGCCAGATCAGCCCTACGGATGCACTGCTGTATAACTGCGGTAAAGTGGTCCGATATGAACGGTAGCTGAAAACGTATTTTATTTTCAGCTCTGTGTGGGAAAACTCTCGGTGTGCTTCGCGTGCGCCGCTGCTGCCAGGCTGTGTAACCGTTGAGATTAGCTATTCGGGTGGCTAATCTCCTGGATTCTTCTCGCTCCTCGTTGCCGGTGCAAACCCTACGGCAGTTTTGAACATGTTTCGTAGCACTGCACGTTTGACAGCTCTGGGGTGTGCCGACGTTGCATGAACGATAATGTTCTTGGAGCTCTCTTTTCTATACCACTTCACATTGTACTGTCCATTTGATACCTTTATCTGAATGTTCAGATATGGTAACCAACC